ACTGGGGGCCTCAGATGACGCGGAATTGGGAGAAATAAAAAAAGGAAAAAAAGAAAAAGAAATAATTCAATTCTGCGCCAGAGAGAAAGAGAACTCGTGCGCTGGCTTTGCTGCTGCTGCTGCTGCTGCTGCTGCTGTTGCTGCTGCTGCTGCTGCTGCTGTTCTTTCCCGGAGGCTCAGGGCGCTGGGTGCTCTGCGGGTTCTCACCAGTCAACCCTAAACCGCAAACCCTAAACCCTAAACCCTAAACCCTAAACCCTAAACCCTAGTTTGTTGTGCACGTGCAGCTCGCGGCCCTCCATAACTCTGCGGGACTTTGCAAAAGACCCTTTTGGGGAGCGGCGGAAGCTGTTGGAGTTTTTGGAAAAGAAAGTGTGGGGTGATGGGATCGCCTCCGATCCCGATCCCAGAGGCGATCCCAGAGGCGATCCCAGAGACGATCCCAGAGACGATCCCAAGGGTTTTTGGGCCTCCTATGACTTCAGCCAGCAGTGCACAATTAGGCCAAGTTCTTTGGCTGCAGCAGCAACTTGCGGGCGCAGCCGCAGCAGCAAAATCGCAGCAGCAGAACAAGACTTGCTGCTGCTGCCCCCAGCAGGGGGCCCCCCAGCAACAGGGGCCCCTCCCGAGGGGGCCCCCCCTGTGGGGCCTTCTCCAGATGAGGGGCAGCCAGAAGCGGCAGCAGCAGCAACTGCAGCAAACCCCCTGCAGCTGCAAGCAGCAGCGACACAGCAGCAGCAGCCGGTGCAGCAGCAGGTGCAGCAGCAGGCCGCAGAGCAGCAGCAGACAGCAGCAGCACCACCGGCGCAGCAAAATGGCCCACTGTTCCTGTCCCCGCAGGCGTCTCAAGGGACCCTCCAGCAGCAGCAGCAGCAGCAACAGCAGGTGCAGCAGCAGGTGCAGCAGCAGGTGCAGCAGCAGGTGCAGCAGCAGGCTGTGCCATCAGCGACAGAGCTGGAGCTGAAAGCCCTGCAGAACGCGTGGTTGCTGCTGCAGCAGCAGCAGCAACTGCTGCTGCGGCTGCAGCAGCAGCAGCAGCAGCAGCTAATTCAGCCCAGAGTTGCTGCTCTCCGCAGATATGGCATAACACCCTCTGTGGTCTTTGCTGCTGCTGGTGTGGGGCCCCACAAGCAGCTTCTGCAGGAGGGCCCCCTGCTGCAGTTGGGCTCTCGTTCTTGGGGGCCCCTGCCTGTGGGGCTGTCCCGGCAGCAGCAGCAGCAGCTGCTGCTGCAGCAGCAGCAGCGGCTGCTGCAGCAGCACCTGCAGCAGCAGCAGCTGCAGGCCAGGCGGCAAGCCATAGAG